AGCATCTACCTTTGATGTTGATTTCAAAGTAAGAAAATGTGCTACAGAACTTCAAGATACAAAACTCCTTGGAAAACTGTCAGCTGGAGATATGATGGCAATAGATGCTCAGTACCATGCACGATGTTTGGCTATGCTATACAAACCTGCACAGCTCAGAGACAGACATGAATCTCAGAATTCAAGTGATGATTCTCTACATGGTATAGCCTTTGCTGAACTCATCTCTCACATCGAAACATTAAGGAATTCATTTGAAGTGAGGCCTGTATTCCGCCTGGCAGATCTGCGAAATCTATACTCATGTAGACTGCATGAACTTGGTTTAGATTCTGCAACTGTACACACAACAAGACTAAAGAATCGAATATTGTCAGCAATTCCAGATCTGAGAGCACACAATCAAGGCAAAGAGGTCTTTCTGGCATTTGATAAAGATATTGGTCTGGCACTTAAACGTGCTTGTAGTCATGATTATGATTCCGATGCATTGATACTAGCTAGGGCAGCAACAATTATCCGCCGAGATGTCTTTAGCTTGAAAAGGACTTTCAGAGGAACATTTCACCCTGATTGCTACGTACAGTCTGTTCCTGCCAATTTGAAAGCCCTTGTCAGTATGATTTTGGATGGACCAGGTATAAAGGAACAATCCTGAAGAAGAGATCAACAGTCCCTAGCATCCCAAACTATCTCACAACTTCTTGTCTTCAACAGCGTGAAAACTAGGAGCACTAATGAATCCTCTGCAACAAGACACCACAGAGATCGAGAAACACCAGCACCAGTTTACTTAAGATTAAAGATCCATGGTGAAACAAGAAAACGTGATCTGGTTGACACATTTCACAATATGGGTTTGTGCATTTCTTATGACCGTGCCTTGTGTATTTCAACAGACATAGCCAACAGAGTCTGTGACATGTACAAGGACGAAGATTTGGTATGCCCACCACAACTCTCAAGATGTCTTCACAACAGCGAGTGTTGATAACATTGATCATAATCCCAGCTCTACAACAGCAACAGATTCCTTTCATGGTACAAGCATTTCATTAATGCAGCACCCATCAGCTGAATGGAAGGGAACAGCAAATACAGTTCCACTGATTGGAGAGAGTAGTCAAAACAGGAAGACCATTGCCAGACTGCCGTCAGTCTACACCAATGTTCCCTCTGCATGTTTTACCAAGACGGATCATTATGTGCCTCCCTTAAACGGACCTTTCACTTAAGATGTACAGGATTTTAACACAATACTTGATCATGAGTATGAGTGGTTGGAACATGTGAAGGAACTACTGGGAAAAGAAGAATTGGGAAATAATGATTTCCTCTCGTGGGCAGCATTCAATGCATCATTACAGTCCCCACTAACAGATCCTCCAACCACAACTGCACTTATGCCACTGTTTCTAGAATGTGCACACTCCGTTGCTATGATACAGCATTCAATGAATGTGGTAAAGAAGGCCGTTGAGCACTTAAATCCAGGTCAGATACCTGTACTTAAAATGGATCAACCATTGTATGCAATTGCTAAAAAAATCCAGTGGAACTTTCCAGAATCATATGGTGAATCCAGTTTCCTTATTATGTTTGGTGGATTGCATATTGAAACAGCTGCATTCAGGATCCTCGGAGACTGGCTTGAAGGAAGTGGATGGACAACTGCAATCTGTGTTGCTGGTATTGCCTCAAGCGGCGTTTCTGATTCCTTCATCAAATGTACCCACCTCGCTAGGACAAGACATGCCCATCAGATCACGGCAGCTGCACTATTCCTACTACAACACCAGGCATATGCTCACTATAAGGAAGCAGAAGCAAACAAAGAAGACCTTTTGACTTTCAGAACCTGGTGTGATGCAAAGTCAGCTTCCCAACCAGAGTTTCAGTACTGGTCCCTTGTTCTTGAACTTTGCATACTGTGCCTGGTGGGTGCAATTCGAACAGCAGATTTCCCAAAGTATGTATCACTTGTGAGATTAATACCCTGGGTCTTTATGTTAGACCATGTGAACTATGCACGATGGCTTTCAGTTCATATCAGAGACATGTCTTCTTTGTCAGTCGAACACCCAGCACTTTACCACAAATTTTGTTCCGGTGGATTTGTAGCACGTAAAACTAAACGACCATTCCCTGCTATGGCACTAGATCAGGCTCATGAACAAGTTAATGCTCTCGTGAAAGGAGATGGAGGTGCTGTTGGACTGACAGAAACCCCATCAGCACTCAGGCGATGGATGGTTGCAGGACCGGAGGTGTCAAGAATGATTCAAGAATTTGAACATATCAGAAGGAATCAAGAAAGTGACAAACATCATGAACAAGCAGCAGCTGTACAGATGACATTTGCAAAGGAGGTTTCATCGCTTGTAACTGTAATGAACGACATGGGGAATCCTTTCAGTGAGGACAGTGGTGATCTCTTGACACTAGATACCAGGGACATTATGGACTCTGATGTAGTGGAGACGATCAGAAATGGATGCAAAGCAGGCAGGGAGCAATACGAACATTTTGTAAAAGAAAGGTTTGCTGACAGATCAAAACTAATAAAGGAACCAATAAAGAAGAACAAGCTGCCACTATTTTCAAGACGGAAGACTCCTCCTCCAAAGAAGACTCATGTTTCCAGGTTGTACATTGCATGTCAGTCAAGAGAAGGAAACCTTGAAGATTTCTTCAAGCATGAAAATCAGCCATGGCCTCCATCATTGTCCAAGATTGGAGAAATTAGATCTGGCAACAAAGCAGACCTTCTTGTACAACTTGAGCATTTACAAGCGGAGACACCAAATGCTACTCCAAAAGTTTCTGCAGCGATACTTGATGGTTCCATGATTGTGCAGATGCTTCATCCAAGAACATCTATAACATTTCAAGACTATATCCAGAATGTATTTCTACCATACATTTTCCAGTATCTTGAACATGTGGACAGACTTGACATTGTTTGGGACACCTACAAAACAGACAGCCTTAAAGCATTCACCAGAGAAAAACGTGGCAAGGGTCTAAGAAGAAGAGTCAAACCATCATCACTTGTGCCAAGTAACTGGCAAAGCTTCCTGCGAGTTGATGAGAACAAAACTGAGCTTTTTGCATTGCTAGCTGAACAGGTTGCTGCAACAGAATTAGAAGGGAAACAGATTTACAGCACCCTTTGAGACAAAAGTTGTAACGTCTCCTGAAACAGCTGACAGAAGACTTCTGGAGGATTGCTCACATGAAGAGCCGACACCCGTCTTGTATTGCACCTATCTGCTGCTTCACATAGTGGTCACAAGAAGGTGATGATTAGGACTGCCGACACAGATGTTGTTGTTATAACGGTAACAAACATCCAGAAGATACCAGTCGATGAAATATGGATATCATTTGGCGTAGGTAAGCACAACAGATATATAGCTGCACATGAAATTGGAACTACCCTTGGTCCATTGAAATCAAAGGCATTATCAGTATTTCATGCCTTCACTGGTTGTGATGTCACTTCATTTTTTGCCGGGATAGGGAAGAAAACTGCTTGGGATACTTGGAATGTATATCCTGAAGTCACGGCTGCATTCCTGTCACTTGCAGATGCCCCAGCAGATATTTCTGACAACACAATGCGGCTCCTTGAGCGGTTTGTCATTCTTATGTATGACAGAACTAGTGTGGCATGGAACATCAATAAAGCCAGACAGCATCTCTTTTCAAGACGGTCTAGGCCCATTGAAAACATTCCACCTACACAGGCAGCCCTAAAACAGCATGCAATGCGCGCAACCTTTCAGGGAGGACATGTATGGGGTCAGGTACTTGACAAGCGTCCAGCCCTGCCGAGTCCCTCAGACTGGGGATGGAAGAAGGCATGTGATAACACATGGATACCTAAGTGGAAAACACTTGGTCAGGCACAAGAACAGTGTTATGAACTAATACACTGCACCTGCAAGAAGTCTTGCACAGGCCTTTGTAAATGGAAGTGCACTGCTTTGTGCCACTGTGAAGGAAAGTGTTTCCAGTGACTGATCATGAATAATGGAACTGTAGAAAGATTTAGTGAACTGATCTCAAGGAATGTAAGTTGGTTTCATAGGTTCATCTGCATGTACATAATGTTAACATTGTTTAAACATACATTCCAGATTGTAAGAAAAGATTACGGAAATTTCACCTGAAGATTTATACATGCCAATTTCTCTAATCATGTGTATCCTGTGTTAATAATATAACAGAATCGTTTACTTGCAAGTAAGTACTGAAAGGTGTGCGCATTAAATTGTTCTCAGAAACTTTGCATTTGTAAAATACTAGCCAAAATACCAACAGATCATACATAAGAGTGCACAAACATATACATTCATCTATTGCTATTTAAAAAGTCTCCTCAGCAATATTAGATTTATATAAATCAACTTATCTAAAGCCAAAAGTTAATAACTTACAAGTTGATATCAATCTATACAGTACAACAAAGGCTTTTTTTGAAAATTAGGATAATTTGGTGGCCATCTTGGATTTTTATCACCACCAGGTGGTGCTGCGTATTAAATTAGGAATATATAGAGTAATGTTAAGAATAATCCTGAAAGAAAATACTGAATAGGATAAGATAATTATATGTTGAGCACAGACTGACATCATTAGAGATTTCAGTCAAATTGGCGGCCATCTTGGATTTTCTGCCACCAGGGGGCACTGCTGAGGTGGATCCATATCCAGAAATGTTCGGAATGGTTCAATATATGTGTGCCAAGTTTGGAGCTTTTAACCCAAAGTGCACAATTTTTGCCTTAACCGCCCCACTAATATGGCCCCGTTTCACAAAGCTGTCGTAGGCCTAAGATCTCGTAACTTTTCTCGTAGCATTCGTACTTCCTATGTTACAGTAAAGCAGGTATCAATACTACGAGAAACGTTACGAGATATTAGGCCTACGAGAGCTTTGTGAAACGGGGCCATGAGAGAGGAACTTTATCGTACATTTAACATTGACCAATGAGGTGACGACTCCTCTCGCTGTTTACGGAAATAGGCGAGTGGTAACGAATGGTCAAGCCAGCGCCAGCCAGACCACACACGTAAACAGTCCCTGCACACAGACAGCGGGGAAGCCTGACGTTGGTCGTCACTATGGCAAATACTGTGATTCCCATCGTGGACTTCGAGAAATACGGGTTGCACATCACTGATCCAGGTTCTGTACGAAGCGAAGTTCTGGAAGACACCGCAAATGGGATATGTGATGCTTTCAGCACTGTTGGATTTGTGTACCTGGTGAATCATGGAATCGAACAGAGCAAGGTAATACGAAAACGTCATACTGTGATACACATGTCTTGCCTCTAGTCTGTTGTCAATGATGATCATGTTATAGGACACCAAACAGCCACCAGTTGGGTGTCATCTGTCGTCGATCCATCCAGTCGTACTTTACTGGCACGATTGGATGGTTGACAGAAACAATTAAGTGACAAGCACCCCTAACTGCCCCTCCCCTCTACACACTCATACACTCTCATCCCCGCACATCCCACAGAGACACTCCTCCCAAACACACTCAATATACAAACGCCATGCTGAGACGATTATAGGAAAGAAAGTGAATAAAGTATTAAAAACCTGAATATCTAAGGTTTTTTTATAAAAATATAAAAGTAGGACTTTTTTTCTGGGGGACTTTTTTAGGCAAATTTAGTACTTTTTACCGGTACTTTTTTTCGAGGACTTTTTTTCCGAACACCGCTGAGAGACCCCCACCCCAGTCCCACACACCACCTGGAGACAGTACTTGTGACACTCCATGTCATCTGATGAAGTTAGCCCATCACCAAATCCATTGTATACTGCCGAACAGTTATCGCCATATTTTAGCGGTATTTACAATATTACTCTGCCGTTCGTTAAATTATTGAAACAAAATTGATTATGATACTTAATTAGCTATTCAGTGTAATTCACTGATGTGTCCAGCCCCTTCACTGCCACTGATAGTTTTTTTATATAACACGGCGGAACGGAATCATGGCAGTACAAATAGATATTTTCTCACAACTAACTGTAACAGTTATTGCCATTTTCACTTTCAGATTTTCTCGTGAAATAATATATATTTATATCATAAAGTAACCTCAAATAATTGATTGTGTGACCAGTTGAGAGTCTTTATGTTACAGTTGATTAATAGGAAATGAAGGCAATAACTGTTTGGTAGCATAAACATCCAATAGCAGACGACAAATTGATGAAAGTGTTTTTGTGGTTATATGGAAAGTAATAGTCTTGGAAAATAACTGCCTGTTCCTTAGATAAGATACCTAAAAATATGATGAATACAATTGTATTTAACAAATTGTTTTCAGCTAGAAAATAGCCAACAGAATGGGTATATGTCAGCACTCAGGACAATAAGTAATCATTTGGTCATAAGTTAAAGGCACTATATCACACTACACTTCTCTAAATATAAATAATGTATTTCTTTCAATAATACTTACTATCAGCCCTCGGGGAAGCTACCTTATGATTTATTCTTCCAAAACTTAGATATTTAGATTACAATATTAAATTAAAAAGTTTGAATGCATTAATGCAACTTTGCATTAAATCGACTCTCACGCCCTCTACCGGACAAACATTATTTCAAGTGAACCCCATAGAGTTATGTCCCTTGGAGCGCTCTTTACAAGTATCCTACGCACAAATTGTGATTGAAACTAGTTCAGCAAACAACCGACAACACAGCATGAGACAGTTTTCGATGTACGGAGCAATTGTTTACATTCCATATATGTCAAGTGTTCTTTGTTTGGAAGCTGTTCGCCCCAAAGTTTCAAATATCGATTTCAGGCAAATCGTAAGGGATTATCAGTCTTTTCTTGCATCAACAGGAAGCTGAAGTGAGTGCATATGCCCCAATATGTATACTATAGGCCATATTATTGTCGAAAATGTGTGACACTGTGCCTTTAAAGTCTCAAGATTATTAATGCATACTAATTAAGCATTACATTTTGTGTTATAATAGGAAGGTCCTTCGTATCTAAACTTAGTATGAAGCATAATGTTTGAATCTGGTTGAACCATATGGGAATATAATACTGAACTGTGATACGCAGCTCACTATACAGTACATCAAATTACAATTAATTACATTTCAAGTCATACTGATGTAATAAAGTGAATCCTGTCAACAAACTATGGTCAGAGTAGAAAATTGTAATTTGTATGGTATATTTTTCAGATTGATGTTATGTTCCAATCGTCTAAAGACTTTTTCAGTCAACCCACGGAAGTGAAAGAAACCTGTGCTAGAAACAAAAGTATTGGCAACCATGGGTGGGTTGGCTTGGAGGTAGAAAAGTAAGTATATGACAATTAATATTAGTCCGAGAAGACAATTTTGTGTGGGTTTTCTCACTGTTAATGGGCAGATCCAGAGGGGGTAGCGGTGGTACACCCAATGGTTGTAACATGTGGTTGTTTGTCACTGAGCAACAGTGAGAATGTCTTATTTGTATGTCAACCAGTTACCATGGTTACCCTTGCAAGTCCACAGTTTATAGGTTTGTTTTTGTGCAGCGTTACTTATTCTCAGCTTCATCAGCATGTCCAGGAATATGAGAAAATGGTTATCTGTGAAACATCAGTGTCTTGTTTCTGAGTTTGGAAATGTGTGGTGAAAATAGAGAAGTTATATGGATTGTTTGGGTTGCAGTGGGTTCAGCATTTTTTATATATAAATGAGTGTGATAGTAACTTTGTGTGTGCAGCTGTGTGTGATTCTGTGTGTGTGACAGACTGTGCATGTGACTGTGTGTGACTATAACTCTATGTGTGTCACTGTGTCTCATATCTGATCAGGGGTGGTGGGGTAGCCTTAAGTGGTTAAACGTTCGCTTGCCACACCAGAAACCTAGGTTCGATTCCCCATTTGGGTGAAGCCCATTTCTGGTGTCCCCCGCCATGATATTGCTGGAATATCGCTAAAACCTTCATAAAACTAAACTCACTCACTCACTCATATCTGATCATCATACCATGCATACCAAACATAGCACATGTATCAACTGCAGTGAATAAATCACAAAAAATATTTCACATATTATAACTCAAACATTTATCATTGTTAAAAACAGGACATGACCTGGTTTTATGATCCTCCAGTGACATCACTCTATTGTCTCGCCAGGGTCTCCATTTACAGAATAAACCTCTACAGGCAGTTTCGCAGGCATTCTCCAAGAAATACCAGGGATTTTCTACAGAATTGCCCAGAGCCCTGGGATTTTCTGAGAAACACCAGTATTTCTGCTGGAATTTTTTACAGCTAAATATTGTGAATTTCAAATACCGGTCATTTTTAAATTTTACCATTCAAGTGATCACGCTTTTCATTGTGCGTGAGACCTTGCACCCTAACAACCAATCAGAAATGTAGAGGGTATCGCAATGCGTCAATGCCGCTATTTTAGCCTGGGGTTTTCCAAAACTGCTATTTTTATTTGTCAACACCTTGATGTCATTGTGAAAGCGTAACCTTTTTCGAGGAGAATTAAATTGACAGAGGTAATTAAAAAATTGATTTTGCAATTTTCCGGACATGATGACCGACAGCCTTTGAAATTACCGGACATTCTAACTTTGTACAAGTCAAAGTCTGGTAGATACCGGATAACGTAAACACTGGGAATAGCCCTTGACTTTGAATTATTTTACTTGTTTTGAAGATTGATATAACTTTGTGTTGCTATTTCTGAATACAATCGTAAAATATCACATGATTGAAAACTTCCAATATGATTGAATATCAGTGTATGAAATAATGCCCGTCCGACCGCCCGAGACGGTCTAGATTTCTGATGGACGGTCTAAATTTACAGTTAGACAGCCTGATGGTCTGGTAAAAATTTTAGATGTTCCATGAGTTTAGATGAGTAAATTCACCATATTTGGTCTGGTTAAATCCATTTTGGGCCTGTAACATTTTGAAGTTACCAGCCTTGATGTCTGGCTGGATTTTTGGCTTATTTCATACACTGCCAATATATTATGCCAATGCCAGGTTTCAAACCTGCAACCCTTCCCTTATTAGCTTAGCGGTTTTATCCACTAGGCTTCAAAGGATTGCTGTGAAGAATGAGATTGTTTGTCAGTATGAACCATGTGTTCCTCCCAAGACGGGTAGTGCGGGCAACGCACGTGCAGAACATGTGTAGCGTGTGCAGAGCATGTGCATTGCGCATGCAGGGCAAGGTAGCAACTGCCAGTTCATTTCAGCAGTAAATACCCATTATTAAAATTATGTCTAAAGTATATCTTCGGTCGGTTCATAAGTTGGATCAAAACCTCCTCCTCGGTTTTGTTTGAAAAAGTAGGCCCTTGGCCTCGGGAAAGTGGGTTGTGCCAGTGCATAATGACTATGAAAAATCACAATTTGCAGACCGCACCACTGCACACATGATACATGCTATAAATGCGTGCTTAGACCAGATGACAGAATGATCATGTTTCATTTTATATTTGCACTGTTCAAGCAGAAATATTGTATAGCATACAAAACCTAGTGTTTTATGAGGAAATAATGCAGGGGAACTAATGTAGAAAAATATATTGAATATGCATGGGTCATATTCATGATAATGATGATTTTGAAAAGTTAAAATGTTCAGTGAAATAGATTGTGAGTACATGTATACACTCGATGTCTGAAAGGATCATTGTAAGCAGATTATGATGTTTTTCTCCAACATGGGTGGTCACTTACAGTATCGTATGTGGAGGCACGATATTTAAATGACACTGTTGATCCACTCATCACAAGGAAGAAAGGTAGTCATTGAGGTAGTTCACAGATCAGGTGTGTCCAACCCTACTCTGGTTACTGTTGAGGTAAGTACACAGGTAGAGCAATCCTAACTATACTCTGGCTACTGTTGAGGCCCCCCACACCTCAGGTGACTGTTGAGGCAAGTTGACAGGTAGTGCAAGCCAACCATTGAAAACAGACAGACTGACAGATTTATTACAGATAAGGCCTCGGACACGAAATACAGTATTGAAATCAATTGATAATGTGTAGTGCATGCATTAATTTTATTTTTTGAGTTCATGAGGTTACACAACGTGTGATGCACATTCTATACAGGAACATAGCTGTAGCTTGGATTCTTTTTTAGCTAGGATTGTTTTTATATCAATTGAAATTGAAAACAAGACCATCCAATCAATTTGGTTGCCCCATATCACCAGCACAGATTGCTAGACTGGCAGATTTACTACTATACTCCTCACAAATAGTTAAGCAACAAGCATTTTTTTCAGCATAATATCTTTATAAGTCTAGATAGCAATTCATAGAGACATAATGCAGGCAGGAAAATTTCTAGGAATGCATAACCTTAAGCCATATTCAAGTTGATTTTGTCCAAAAACATTGATCACATCGCTTGAACACAACCACCCTCAAAAAACACATGCAAAATGCACAGCATGCATGCGTTCCACACTTCACACAACTTGATGTCAGTAGCATTTGAAACATGGCTAGGCGTCACTTGACGGCAACTGAGGCTGCTCAAATTGTTGGAATGGTGCAGGGGGATGTGACACAAACTGCTGCTGCCAATCATTTATTGTTCATCGCAGTGTCGTTTCAAGAGCGATGACTCGATACCACCAAACTGGACTGATTAAGAGAGGCCACGTACAGGTCGTCCAAGGGTGACAACTCCCCAAGAAGACCGATATCTGGCCACCCTAGCGCGGAGAAACCTGTTCACTACAGCCAGATCACTCCAGAATGACCTTCAGAGAGTTGCAGGAAGCAGGGTCTCAACACAGACAGTGAGGAACAGACTTCATGCTGATGGCTTGAGGTCCAGAAGACCTCTACAACGCATCCCACTGCCTACACATCATCGACAATGAAGTGTGATCTGGGCAAATCAACACCATATTTGGAGGGTCAATCGTTGGCGTCATGTTCTCTTCACAGACGAGACAAGATTCTGCCTTGACTTCAACGATGGTTGGGAACATTTGTGGAGAAACCGTAATGAACGATATGCCAACTCTACCATTGCTGAACATGACCAGTCGGAGGTGGAAGTTGATGGTCTGGGGTGGCATCAGTGTTGGACACAGAACTGATCTTGTGGTCATCAGACGGGGTACCATGACTGTAGTAAAGTACAGGGATGAGATTATCACACCTGTAATAATTCCTCTGGCACAGCAAACAGGGCCCAACTTCATTGTCATGGATGATAATGCCCGTCCCCATCGAGCAAGAGTTGTCACTGACATTTTCCAGAACAACAACATCACGCATATGGACTGGCCTGCAAGGTCTCCTGACCTTAATCCCATAGAACATGCTTGGGACATTCTTGGAAGGTGGGTTTACGGTCTCCATGTCCGCCTCCAGACCCTGGATCAACTGGAACAGGCCTTATGGACAGAATGGCGGAACATTCCACAGGCTCATCTGGTCAATGCAGAAGTTTGTATTGGAGCCAATGGCAGACATACCGATGATACACGTTACTGAACACACGATCGATGTTCAAAATTGACATAAACTGTAATTCAAACATTTTGATTCTTCAATGCAGCACGTTCTGCATGATTTTTTATTGGTACCGTTTTTGAGGATTGGTAACATTGTTATTGCTTAACGATTTTTCGATGCTTTTAGTGAATGGAGTGCGGAAGACCTGTATCTTTGTATTGCATCATTCAAGTATCATGAATTTTAATACATGAAAATGTTCTAAGAAGAAGTATCCTTGTTGCTTAATTTTTTGTGAGGAGTATATCATGACTGTAGTATTATGAAAGAATTGCACGTTTTTAACTTCTTTTTTGTGTTATATCTACAGAAGTTTTTATTTACAGGCTCAATCCAGACAGACCGGCAGGTGACCTGAAAGAATGTTTTAACTTTACACCAAGCGAAGATGGTGTAAGTGTACATGTTTTCAATGAGTTTGTTTAAAGTAAGCTTTGTTTAAAGTAAGCTTTCATAAATTTGGACATGTTGGACGACTGTGCCTCATCCTAACAAAGGGTATTTTCAGTCTGTCAAGGCACGTCAATGTTCCAGAGGCTGTAATTCAGTGTTTCATTGGCTCATACTTCAATGTTTCATTGTATATTTTTTCAGTGCTTCAGAAGATGTGTTTTAACGTTTCAGTCCTGGCCATCAGATAGCTTCAGGTCAACCTTCTTCTCTTTCTTCAGTGATTGCAAGCAGTTGTCCATGAGAGTTCTGGACGTGTTGTCCATTGGCCTAAAACTAGAGGTGAGTATGTGCTATGTATGTAGTGGACGTGTTGTCCATTGGCCTAAATCTAGAGGTGAGTATGTACCATGTATGTAGTGGACGTGTTGTCCATTGGCCTCAAACTAGAGGTGACTATGTACCATGTATGTAGATTAACCTCAACCATGTATGTAGTGGACGTGTTGTCCATTGGCCTCAAACTAGAGGTGACTATGTACCATGTATGTAGTGGACGTGTTGTCCATTGGCCTCAAACTGGAGGTGACTATGTACCATGTATGTAGTGGACGTGTTGTCCATTGGCCTCAAACTGGAAGTGAGCATGTACCATGTATGTAGTGGACGTGTTGTCCTTTGGCCTCAAACTGGAGGTGACTATGTACCATGTATGTAGTGGACGTGTTGTCCATTGGCTTCAAACTGGAGGTGACTATGTTCCATGTATGTAGTGGACGTGTTGTCCATTGGCCTCAAACTAGAGGTGAGTATGTACCATGTATGTAGTCCCAGTGTGTTGTCCATTTGGCTTGAATTGGAGGCATTTGTTTCAGGATCATAAGTTGACTTCTTCCCTGTGTTTCAGAATAAGAATTTCTTAAGCGAGTGTCACGACCTCATAGGCAGGAAGGGCTGTCCAACCACTCTGAGAAGTCTGTACTACCCTCCTCTTTCTGAATGTAAGGGTTTCCTATTTGACAGTTTAGGAAAACAGAATAGTTTAATGTAATTTCAAAATCTAGTTTCATTTGTAACATATGTTATAAATTGGATTACACTTTCTTTGTAAAATCGGATATGTGTAATTTGTGGGGATTTGAAACCACACTCACAGAGTCAGGCACCTAATAGCCAGCACACAAAGTTAGCGATCTAACCCACTCAGCCACCGTGGCTTCCACAAATATGGAAGTCTGACAACTGGTAGTTGAGATCACATACTTTGTGTACCCCTCTCAAAAGTGTATATTGACAATACTTCCACAGCCAAAAGCTGGGACTACACAGTTGTCAGACTTTCAGTTTTATGGAACGAGTGAGTTTAGTTTTACGCCACACTCAGTATTATTCCAGCTATATGGCAGCGGACTGTAAATAATCAAGTCTGGATCAGACAATCCAGTGATCAACATCATGAGCATCGATCTACACATTTGGGAACCTATGACATGTGTCAACCAAGTCTGGCGAGCCTGACCTCCCAATCCCATAAACAAAATTATATGTTCAGTGCTACCTTTGTGGCAGTCATACACAGGTGTTGAGTTTTAAAACAATTCTGGTTTTACAGGTGTGAAAGCTGGCCAGGTACGCTGTGGAGAACATTCTGACTATGGTGCCATAACTCTGTTGTTCCAAGATGGTATTGGAGGCTTAGAAGTGAGTTTCCATCAAATATTACCATAACTGAAGCGACCATAGGGCTTGTTGCGATGATGTTATCAGATTTAGCTCACCATGACAACCTGTGATTATATGGTCAAATCCTAGATTCATCCTGCATTTGTTTCTAGTTTTGTGAATACCATAACACTGAGTGGGTTTTAGAAAAGTGGTGAAATATTCAGAACTTCATCAAATCTGGCTTTCCTGCTATACAAAAACTGACTCACTGTGACATAACTGTCCGAAGAAGTGTTTAATCAGAAACATGCATGTGTGTAAAATCCAATTTATCACGCATGCATGGCACAAGCCCACATTCGCCCCATGGGTAGCCTCGGGTTGGGCTGAATAACATAAACTGATGTACAAAGATGACCAAATGGATTGGGTCAGTCTCGGTGTATCTTTTGATAACATACTATCGTACTTCAACAGCGTAGAGCCATATAATTACAATATCAGTGACAGAAACATTAAATAATAAAACAAATGAATGGTGATGACATGTAGGTGGTATGACATGTTTCAGGTGACAAATGGTGATGAGATGTATAGTTTGGCATGAAATGCATGTGGACCCGTTTTTTTTTGTAAATATCTATTCATCCAATGACCCAATCGATCTCAAACTGTGCAAGTGGATGTTTTGTCAGACAACCTAATCACATTGTAAATCACCAATTTTATGCATTTGTATTAAAGAATCTGTCTATGTAACTGTCAACAAAATCAACAGCAGAAGGCAGAATGCTTGCAGAGGGAGGGAGCCAATGACCTGTAACAGCGGCAGTGTTGGGTCATAAGGGTCAACGTTCGTCAATGTAGGTCAGCTATGCACGTGACAGGTATGAAGAGGTGTTCATTTCTAGCAAAAAGCCGGCGAATGACATCTCTGATGACCCCGATGTCAAAAGAATCTAACTTTGGATGCCTACCTTTTTGTACAAGGTTTTGTTTCTTGGTTGTTGGTTTATTTTTCACAATTTTTTAATAATTAGCACGATGTTCTTTTTCATACCAAGAGCAAAAGTTGTACGTTTCATGTAATCCGACACCTTATAAATCGGTTTGCTACGTTTGCTCTCTTTTTTAACAAAATTCAACACATTTCTAATTAAACGTTTAGCATCATCTGAATAATCTTTCATGATGACAGCTAGAAGTAGTCAATGTGAATGATCCAAACGGTCTATCACTGTGCAGTGCACAGGTAACTATCATGAACTGCACGTGCATTGACCTTTATGACCCAACACTGCCGCTGTTACAGGTCATTGGCTCCCTCCCTCTGCAAGCATTCTGCCTTCTGCTGTTGATTTTGTTGACAGTTACATAGACAGATTCTTTAATACAAATGCATAAAATCGGTGATTTACAATGTGATTAGGTTGTCTGGCAAAACATCCACTTGCACAGTTTGAGATCGATTGGGTCATTGGATGAAGATATATTTTACAAAAAACGGGTCCACATGCATTTCATGCCAAACTATAGGTGGTATGACATGTTTCAGGTGACAAATGGTGATGAGATGTATGTGGTATGACATGTTTCAGGTGATAAATAGTGATGATGTCTATGTGGTATGACATGTTTCAGGTGATAAATGGTGATGATGTGTATGTGGTATGGCAGAACTACTGATGACACATGTGGTATGACCTGCTTCAGGTGATGACTACTGATGGCATGTATCATGTATTGATATGTATGTGGTATGTTTGACTACTGATGAATGGTGATGACATGTTTCAGGTGATGTGGTATGACATGTTTCAGGTGATGAACACTGATGATATGTATGTGGTATGACATGTTTCAGGTGATGAACACTGATGATATGTATGTGGTATGACATGTTTCATGTGATGAACACTGATGACACGTATGTTGTATGACATGTTTCAGGTGATAACCACTGATGATATGTATTTGTGGTATGACATGTTTCAGGTGATGAACACTGATGAGACGTATGTGGTATCGCATGTTTCAGGTGATGAACACTGATGAAATGTATGTGGTATGACATGTTTCAGGTGATGAACACTGATGATATGTATGTGGTATGACATGTTTAAGGTGATGAACACTGATGGCATGTATGTGGTATGACATGTTTCATGTGATAAACACTGATGACGTGTATGTGGTATGAAATGTTTCATGTGATGAACACTGATGACGTGTATGTGGTATGACATGTTTCATGTGATGAATACTGATGATATGTATGTGGTATGACATGTTTCATGTGATGAACACTGATGACGTGTATGTGGTATGAAATGTTTCATGTGATGAACACTGTGATGAACACTGATGACATGTATGTTGTATGAAATGTTTCATGTGATGAACACTGATGGCATGTATGTGGTATGACATGTTTCATGTGATGAACACTGATGGCATGTATGTGGTATGAAATGTTTCATGTGATGAACACTGATGATATGTATGTGGTATGACATGTTTCAGGTGATGAACACTGATGACGTGTATGTGGTATGAAATGTTTCATGTGATGAACACTGATGGCATGTATGTGGTATGACATGTTTCATGTGATGAACACTGATGACATGTATGTGGTATGAAATGTTTCATGTGATGAACAATGATGACGTGTACGAGGTATGAAATGTTTCATGTGATGAACACTGATGATATGTATGTGGTATGACATGTTTAAGGTTGATGAACACTGATGGCATGTATGTGGTATGACATGTTTCATGTGATGAACACTGATGACGTATATGTGGTATGAAATGTTTCATGTGATGAACACTGATGACGTGTATGTGGTATGACATGTTTCATGTGATGAACACTGATGATATGTATGTGGTATGAAATGTTTCATGTGATGAACACTGATGACACGTATGTGGTATGAAATGTTTCATGTGATGAACACTGATGAGCATGTATGTGGTATGACATGTTTCATGTGATGAACACTGATGACGTGTATGTGGTATGAAATGTTTCAGGTGATGAACACTGATGATATGTATGTGGTATGACATGTTTCAGGTGATGAACACTGATGACGTGTATGTGGTATGAAATGTTTCATGTGATGAACACTGATGGCATGTATGTGGTATGACATGTTTCAGGTGACAAATGGTGATGAGATGTAGGTGGTATCACATGTTTCAGGTGATGAACACTGATATGTATATGGTATGACATGTTTCATGTGATGAACACTGATGACACGTATGTTGTATGACATGTTTCAGGTGATAACCACTGATGATATGTATATGTGGTATGACATGTTTCAGGTGATGAACACTGATGACATGTATGTGGTATGTCATGTTTCAGGTGATGAACACTGATGGCATGTATGTGGTATGACATGTTTCATGTGATGAACACTGATGACGTGTATGTGGTATGAAATGTTTCATGTGATGAACACTGATGGCATGTATATGGTATGACATGTTTCAGGTGACAAATGGTGATGAGATGTAGGTGGTATGACATGTTTCAGGTGACAAATGGTGATGAGATGTATGTGGTATGACATGTTTCAGGTGATAAATAGTGATGATGTCTATGTGGTATGACATGTTTCAGGTGATAAATGGTGATGATGTGTATGTGGTATGGCAGAACTACTGATGACACATGTGGTATGACATGTTTCAGGTGATGAACACTGATTACATGTATGTGGTATGACATGTTTCAGGTGCTGAATACTGATGACGTGTATGTGGTATGACATGTTTCAGGTGATGAACACTGATGACGTGTATGCGGTATGACATGTTTCAGGTGATGAACACTGATGACGTGTATGCGGTATGACATGTTTCAGGTGATGAACACTGATGACGTGTGTGTGGTATGACATGTTTCAGGTGATGAATATTGATGACATATATGTGGCATGACATGTTTCAGGTGATGAACACTGATGACGTGTATCTGGTATGACATGTTTCAGGTGATGAACACTGATGACGTGTATGCGGTATGACATGTTTCAGGTGATGAACACTGATGACGTGTATGTGGTATGAAATGTTTCAGGTGATGAATATCGATGACAGATATGTGGCATGACATGTTTCAGGTGATGAACACTGATGACGTGTATGTGGTATGAAATGTTTCAGGTGATGAACGGTGATGAACACTGATGAACACTGATGACGTGTATGTGGTATGACATGTTTCAGGTGATGAACACTGATGACGTGTATGCGGTATGACATGTTTCAGGTGATGAACACTGATGACGTGTATGCGGTATGACATGTTTCAGGTGATGAACACTGATGACATTTATGTTCCTGCCCACCCTGTCCCCGGCGCCGTCTTGGTCAATATCGGTGACCTGATGCAGCGATGGACTGCAGATAAGCTTAAAGCCACGGTGAGCAGACTCTACTTTGATAGAACAGTCTTTTAGGTACCCTATTAAATATGAGTTATTAAACCAGAAATCTAGCAACTCTTAAATGTGAATGTCAGTAACTATATAAGCTGCATTGGTTCTGGCCAGTCCTTACAAATAGATAAAATTATGACAGAGTAGGTTGTCACTGAATGTGGTGTGAAAGACTAAACACAAATATACACTCTCACTGACACCTGAGCCATGATGGCCGCCTCCGTGGTGTAGTGGTTAGAGCATCCGCCCGGAAAGCGGAAGGTCGAGGGTTCGATCCCCGACCGCGTCATACCAAAAGACGTTAAAATATGGTACTTCTTGGTCCCTGCCTGGCGCTCGGCATTAATGGGTACAACAAGGACTGGTCGGCTTGGAGTCAGTATAATGTGTCCAAGTGGGGTATTCATGCTTCACTGCGACATGGTATCTCAGTGGGCTAGCACTATAAAACCAGCTTCAGTCTGGGCTAGTACAAGCAGCCGCACATTCACAGACACACGCATGCACGTCGTCATATGAGAGAAATATTCTCAAGCACGACGTTAAACCCAATTTCACCTCACCTCACCTGAGCCATGATATACATAAGTAGGGTTCTAATGGCTCTGGCCAAGCAACACTCTCAGGCAAGCCAAGAACCAATTGCATCCTGTAACTGCCAATTGCATTATGACTCAAGATAAGGAACAATCTTCACTGCTTTTTGGCCTAAGCCAAGCTGACTGCAGCATGACACAACAATCTCATTTTCAACCACCAGCATCAACTTCCTTGTGACTTATCAAGAAATAGTTTTTAATCCAAAGTCATATCATTTGAACAAAACATGTCCTTAACAATATGGGTGCAATTTTGGCATGTTCAAAATTCCACTTACCATCTATGCAACTCCAGGCCATCTTTGTTATCCATAGGCTGAATGTCGGTTAAAGTCTTTCAGGAACATCATGTCTTAAATATTTTCAGAAACACAGGGTCCTGGTTCCTGAGGCAGAACTAAAGAAGCGCCAGAGTCGACAGTCCTTGGCATTTTTTGTCCACCCAAATGATGAAGTTATTATAAGATGCCTTGATGGTTCAGATAAATATGAACCCATCTCGAGTATTGATTATCTGAACTACAGGTTCAATGTGACTTACTGAGAATGACCTCAGAATCCTCCAAGAATAAGGGCCATCTATATCCTGGGTATGGAGGGACTCGAGGGAAGGTCCATGGTATTAAAACATTTTGCTACAGATCTTTGGTATATAGCTGAATATGGTGGCGGTCTATAATCGAGTCTGGGCCAGACAATCTAGTGATCAACAGCATGAGCAACGATCTATGCAACTGGGATACGATGACGTGTCACCTAAGTGAGCGAGTCTGACCACCCGATCCCATTAGTCGCCTCTTACAAGCATGGGTTACTGAAGATTAATTCTAACCCGGATCTTCACAGGTCCGTATTGGTAAGGACCCCTGCAGTTTGAATAAAAGAAGCATAGCAATGAGAGTTGGGGAGTAAACAGACGTGTGTATTCGTCAGTACATCTAGTTGATTAGGAGAGTTGGCAGTAACAAACAGGTATATTTGATAGTGCTCGTTGGGGGTGGATTATGTTGCACCCAGCAAGCTACATATTTCAAATACTTCAAAGTTGAACTTAATGTCAATAATTATAATCGGAGTGAGTGAGTTTAGTTTTATGACACTTTTAGCAATATCACGGCAGGGGGACACCAAAAATGGGGCTTCACACATTGTACCCATATTTGGGAATCGAACCCATGTCTTCAGCGTGATGAGTGAACACTTTAACCACTAGGTTACCTCACCACCCTGGATAGTCAGATGTGTATTATGCATCATGGAAAGAGGAATACATCACTTTCACAAGTGACGTAATATACTGACAATAGACCGATCCAGTCCCGGCCGATAAATCCCGCCCACTTCGTTTTTGACGTTAGGGGGACAACTACTGACTAATCACAATGGCGTCACCACCGGCGAAACGTACGTGATTGCGAATGTTGTTGATGAATTCTGTTTGTTGTACTTTGGTATCCGTCGTTTGTGAATGATATTTAAAAAGGAAAGTTATACGTATTTTATTTTCAATATATTCTAGTTGACAGGTTGTATAATTGGCAAGTGAAAATGTAGTTAGATCTACATGCCCGATGAAAAATCGTCTCAGCCAGCTGCTGAGATTGGGAAGCGTATTTTCTACCAAATAATCTATCCGGCAATTCACGTTCGTCTAAGATATTAGCAGGGGAAAGGTAACTGAATTATGTTGTTTGTTGCTTTTTCTGAAAAATTCCCATCGTAATATTATAAAAACCGTGAACACAACCACATGTGCAAGTTGCAGATCGTTTCGGTATCGATAAAAAGATTGTCAAAACATCGCGTGCCACCTTTATTTATTTATCCGTTGTTCAAATTTAGTTAAGTTAGAAGTTTGTGAAAACATGGGTTTCTACCTTTCAAAGAACAACGCAGGAAAACAGTATCCCGTCTACTACTTCGTCCACCTTATTTGTCTGTATATATTATCTGGAAAACGTTACTGGACCTGTTAACACAGTATGTTTCCATGGATGTATCTGGACATACCCAGAAGCAAATATTCAGCAGCTAATCTGCAGCTATTCTCAGTAAAATGTCTCTCTTCAAAATCTGTACACCATCTTAAAATGACACTGAATATAAGGAAATCCATTTTTTTAATAATCCTTTCCAATTTATTTTTCTATGTGTACTTTGTTGTGGAATCCTAATCTACAAACCTCCACGTGGAATTCATGAACTGCCAGCATTTATCTACAGGTATGTCACACCACCATAAACACAAAGAATCCAAGATAAAGTCTGCACCTGTACACTGACACATCTTCCATAAATAGGAAACGTGTGATGCAAAATCTTTGAACAGAGGATCCACAGTTATCCGAACAATTAAAGATCACATATACTCTAGGGGGGTACAAATACATAAATCACTAACTGGCATCGCTATAAATGAAACCCCGTCATTAAAACTACTCACTTCGGTCTTTAATTAACTTAAATCGACTTTTTTGACAACAGTGCACAATTCTCGCCCGCGAACGAAATTTCAACCAATCAGAGCGGGGCGTCTCTGTGACGTCATATGAGGAATAGATATGAGGGCCGATGCAGAATTCATCTACATTTCAGGGGGTAAATTATCTTGTTTACAGGTTTGTATAAACCTGAAATCGTGACAACTGTTGTGGAAAATGAAAGCTATATGTTCTCACAATCTACTGTCATTTAATTTTGTCTCCTGCTTTGCCTAGTTTCCGAGTTACAACTTGTTTTCATAGACGATTCTGTCAAAATCGCTTGGTGTCGTTAGGCCTTATTTGTATAATGACTGAAGCAAATTGATCCCATTTCTGTGTTTTTGTTACCTCGATATTTAATCATGTCATGTAAAAATCTGTTTGTATTCTCAAAACAGTGTCGGCCCATAAGTTTTCACATGCAATACAGCAATTAATACTCCCTTGTTGTAACCCGTGTTAGGTGGTATAAACCTACACATGTTATTTGTCATCATTCACTTGATGGTCAGTTAATGAATTTATAACAGGTATAATTAGTGGTAACACACTTAGATTACCCGACAAAGGTTCCCATTTGGCATTTCTTGTGTCTGGAGTAAATATTCAACATTATAAACATCGATCAAAGGATTAACCGATAACACGCTGATTGATTAATTACTTTTATCTTACACAGCGGATTTGTCAAAAGGCAGTGTTTATGTATGTAGATTTACTAATCTATACTGAATACACTCTGTCGTGTCGGTGTCTGCGTAAAACCAACGTCCTTCTTTCAAAGGATTAACCGGAATAACATTGATTGATTGCCCATTATTGGCTAACTAAATTACTGTTTTTAAAGAAAGGCGGACATTATGCAATTAGTTGCCAGGTGTGCTATCTTGGGTGACCAATGAGACTATACACCAATGTGAAATACCTGAAAAGATTTATCACTTTTTCGTATATTAAACTGTTAAAAGACACATCACTTGGAACTGCTGCAGATGAATGGCATATCACTCATTTTTGTGGATATTGATGGATACATTCAGTCAGTCCTAACCACCCCGTTAAGATATTTCCTTCACACATATCATAAATACACACAATATTTGTTAATTTATTACATTAACCAAAACATTGATATTTGTGATGAAGAACATTTTCCTTGACTCTCCTGCCACAATGTTACATAATATTATTAGATACATTTGACCGTGACCATCAAATATATATTCTCATGTGAAGTCAGTATAAATCATCTGAAAACTTTGTATTTTATATTAAAGGATTTTGACAAAGAGCATATATGTGAAACTAATGATTTAATTGAATTGTTTCATTCAAAGTCAGGAACACAATTCTTCATTATCACAAAATGTTGTAATTATCAAAGGCGTATTTGGAAAGAATAAAGATGCAAGATATAACTTTACATTCAGTACAACCATGCCAACTAGATTATGAACATCATTAAACCACTTTCAATTTTGTGAATAAACAGCAAATGTCAGAACATAGGGCATATTATATACACCTATGCTGTACTTTAACAATGAAACATATGGGTATTTTTGGCCAATATGGGCTTTCACAATTTGCAAGAAACCACCATAGCCATCATACTATTTATAATATTTTGAAACAGTATACAAATTAATGGATATATCTGTTAACATAGTAAACTTTAGAAGAGGTGGATCTGTTGCCTATAAAGAAAAATGTTTTTGAATGGCAAACAATTATCTATTGTTAATCACTATCTCTGATTAGTGTTTTTCCATGATAAACAAGAGTCATCCGAAGATGACAAATCCCCCAGCCCATACAAATATGAAAGAGCAAATCATCTGACAGTTACTTAAAGTTGAACTTCATATTTTTAGACAAATTCCAACATGTTTCCATGGAAACCAAGAAAAATAGATATGACAAAAATCTGTAAATAGCAAAAGGCACCACTTTAGGTTCTGTTTGATATATCTGCCAAGTTTTGTTGAAAGATATTAAACGGTTTTCGAGATGTGCTCCGGAAACAAAGCACACCACTCCCTTTTAAGAACAGTCTAAAACGTTTCCATGGCAACCAAGAAAAATAAAAATGAAAAAATATGTAAATAGTCAAAGGCACCACTTTAGGTTCTGTTTGATATATCTGCAAAGTTTTGTTAAAAACATTGAACCGTTTTCGAGTTATGCTCCGGAAACAAAATGATTACGGATGGACGGACAGACAGACGGGCAAGGCGTCGACTATATCCCCCCGCATTCATGCTAAGAAGGCTCTTATCAAATTTATGTCAGTTTCCCAGAATTTTGGAATTTTAACCCGGAAAATATGTTTCATATTGTTTGATTCACAAATCCAACAGATTGTGCTTCATAGAAGAATATGTCTGTTATGTCACCCGGCTCTAGAAGATAAAATTCACATTATGCTGATTTAAGAAAACAATACATGCCATGTTTCATCTGTAAAAATATCCTTCAAGTGACTTTGTTTCCATTCTAACCTCCAGAAATGAAAATGTAATATGTAATCTAGGGCTTTATGTAAAACATGCTGTTATGCTTAAAAGCAATTCTCTTATCTGAACTGTAATTTATTTCATGAAATGTCTGTAACATGTGCTGCTTCTTTGACTTTGACTACTACCATACCTGATTAGTGACATTCTGAGTCTTATTTTTCCCTGACCAAAACCCTAAATTTCCCTGACTTAAACCCCAAATTCCCGGACTATTCCCTGACTTTTGAAAACATATAAAATTCCCTTGACTTTCAGATAAATGCCAAATTTCCCTGACTTTTCCCTGACCTGTGGGAGCCCTGAATAGGATTTTGCATGACATAGCTTATAACATAACAATTTTTCTCGTGGCAGCGAGGTGGGTGTCAATATAATACTACATGTACTTACAATATTATTGTTACTTCGACCACAACCTCGCTTCCGAGGAAGAAATCGTTATGTTACAAGTTGTGTCATGGACAATCTTTATGGTCATCAATCATATACATATTTTACTACAACTAGTAAGTAGTTTTGATTCTTTAACTTCCGTGAAGCGATCTGAACACAAGTGAGATATCGTTTCAGGCTTCCACAACGCTCGCTTCGCACTCACAAACATAACCCATTTAGCACGAACTGCGGTAGACTAACAACTAGTCTCTGAAATGAACATATTTTACTGGGGAAAAAAAGTTCATAGTAAAAAAATATATATATAATGAAAAGGAGCCCTGAGACTTTCTTCATTTCCTGAAGCTGAGGAAATCTAGACTTGCCACATTTTCTAGACTTGTGTGGGCTTTCTTGGATATATTTGCCTCAGGGTCTGTACGACAGACTAGAACTGCGGGTCCTGTGGAAATCTGTGCATGGTGACACCATCGCCCGACCCCTAGGAGCAATTGACG